ATAAAAAGCATCAGAAAACATACTCTAGATGGCAAAGGGACTGGGTACAGCTGACTTCCAACACAAGAAATTGGATTTAAAACCTCTTTTCCCTGTCACTGCCTATTTCTTTCAGTTTGGGGTTAAAACATACTCCTTGGCTGTTCAGCTAAGGACAATATCTGCCCTACCCTCCTCTGTGCCAGGAACCCAAAAGCACCCCTGAAGATTTGGAGGCACAGCAAATGCAGCCATCAACTGGATTTCAGAGACTACAAAACAGAGTGTCAACCTCAGGCTTATGCTGTCTCCCTGTTCGCAGCTTCTTTTTCAGCCTATGGGGTTCAGTTCATTTGTTTGTTTTTAAAATATTCCCCCCCCCCACTTCTTTACCCAAATAAGGTTGTTTTCTTTCTCCTACTTTCACACAATTGTTTTTTTCAGGGAAGACACAGATGAAAGAATTATTTCTTGTCAGCAAGGCTTGTACCTGGGTGACATGCAGTTCCTTATTTGGTTAAAACACAGGTTGATGGAGTTAGCTTGCGTTCTGCTTTATCAGTCACTTCTGAAGCGGTTTCAAAGAGCAGAATGGGATTCAGAGCTTCAGCGCTAGCTGCTGCAGCAGTGAGGATGGGTTGGGATGAGTTTCACAGAGAGCTACAAACACCATTCACAGCTGCTGCTGGCTTAAAGATACATAGTCAAATGTTTAAACAATAAGTTCCCAGTTTCCAATAAACAGATCTTTTAAAAGTGGTAGATCATATTTAGGACCACTCCCCACAAACGTCAGGTAAGCATGTTTCATACTGCAGGTTTCTGACACAAAGCAGAGGGATTATCATCACCACTTGCTTTGTAAATCTCAGCTCTTAGGAGTTAAAAGCGTACTTCAAAGTGAAACTATAGGATAGAAAGCCCAACAGTGCTGCAATTTACACAACACGGACAGTACAAGCGCTTAGGAAGATGTGAGAAGGCTCCAGCACTCCCTTTGTCCCCTCTGGACAGTGAGAGCTGTAACTTGGAGGTCTCTGGGCTCACAGTTACCAACGATGCCATTTGCTTGGGTTTTAATTGTAATAAAAAGAGGGTGCAGAGCCTGCATGAGAAAGGTCTTTCAGGGCTTTTATAACAAACTTTGCCTTCACCTAGAGAAGAGCATTCCTACAGAGATGCATTTATTCCAATTTTTATTTCTAGCCAAAACAACAGCAGTCTTCAGGCAACATGTGCTAACCGTCTGTAACCAGTGACACGCCGCAGACCCGCCACCGCCCGTCCTGGCACACTGCAGCCACCAGCACTCAGCCACGGCAGCCCGTCGCTTCCTGGAGGGAAAGCCCTGCACCCAGACACAAGCTACCTGCACCACGAGGTTTTGCTACTTGATGCACTTGAGTATTACTAAGAAGTTTTATAAAAAGGCTGTTAGCTGACTTATGTTGAAATCTTAATAGGGGAACGGGGCACTTAAGTTAGAAGGATTTCTTGTTTTGCTTTTTAAAATACAAGTTTTATCAGCCCGTATTGCAACTAGAAATGAGAACAAGCAGTGACAGAGTATCAACACTAGCAAGGCAGCGTGGAGGGAACACCCACTCCAGGCGTTGTTTTAAACAAACACCCCAACACTCTTTTATGATAAATTTGATCAACCTCTACATTTTTGTTCCTATAGTGTGTGTGTGTGTGTGTACACATGAATGGCAGTGGCACAGTGGCAGCATTTCGTGCTGCAGCGGGAGACTCTCGGGAACTGGAGAGTGCCACGCAAACTGGGTTTTTCAGAGTACCCTGGGCCCAGGTACACCTGGAAGCCAGTGCACAGCTGGTTCTGCAGAGAAAAACTGCTTCTAACTGGCCAAGAATTGTGAGGATATGCACAGATGAGACCTGTAATTATTTGTGATTTGGCTTCAGATTTGGGCCCCTGGCTCTGGTGACGTTCCCTCCGCTACCTGCCCTCATCCTTGCTCTCCCAATACTGGAATGTGAACACCCTCTCCCTGCCTCACCTCTCTCAATTTTCAGGCAGCTACAGCCAGCAAAACCACCCTCTTTGCCTCGTCAGGCAACTATTCAGGTTAGGGTGGAAGTCCCCACTTTAAGTAATGCATGTTTTGCAGCTCACCTCTGAACAACGAGAAGAACACCAAGAAGCCTGCGGTGTTAAAAAGGAACATTTTATTGCAAGAGATTACAGACCTGGCACTGTGGCCAAAATGTTTCCATTACATCAAAATTGCTACCCATTTATCAGGCAACAGCACCTACAAAGCATGGTGGATTGAAATAATCTGAAATCATAATGCAGTCAGCCTTTTTAAGTAAGTACCACCCTAAGGTTTTTTTTAAAAAACAAAGTCAGAACTATATAAACAATTTTTTTTAAAGTGAAACTGCTGTTTAAGTACCCAGGCTATTAACTACTGTGATAAAAAATGGAAAAGTCTTTAACCATAGCGCTCAACTAATCAGGGTTCTTTCACAGCCCTTACCATTTAATTAAAAGCAAGTACTTGTTATTCGCTGTCCATTTTTCCACATTTGTTCAGCCAACATTCTTCTTCTGTAGGTTTTTAGAATCAGGTAGAAGACCAAATGAATAACCCCTTTAAATCACTATTGACCTCCAGGATAATTTAAACCCACAACTGGCCCAGAAAAAGCATTGGTGTCAAAATAGCTTTGCTGAAATGGATCTCCCCATCTCAGTCTCGTGACACTGACCTTTTGAAACTTTGGATGGATGCCTATCTCTGACCCCCAATTTATGACTCACGCTCCTCCTGTGATCCACTTACCTCAAAGACCTTGGTGACTTCCCTGAGCGTGGCTTTGAACAGAAAGTCTTGCCTAGGACACCAACCCCAACTGCTACAATCCTCATCTTTGGCATGTTAGGGCTCGCTCTTCCCTCCCAGCGGCTAGTGCTAGCTATTGCCTGGCCTGTGCTTTTTCCTCCCATTGAGAAGAGTCAGCAGCTCATTTCCTGACACTGCTGGCTGGGTAAGGTGAGCTCCTAAGAAACAGAAGCTGCATTTTCAGGCAGAGCTGGACTGCCTTGCTTGTGGGAGCAGTCCACCTAATACAATTCACACAATCCATATGAAGCAGCGTATGGCAAACAGGAGTAAATGCCCAGGGATCTTTGTGAGCCAACACTTTGTTATCCACTTGCCTCCATCTCCCATTTTCCACGCATACAGCCTGAACACACTACTACTCGGCAGTGGCTACCGCAGGCATTTTAAAATCACCTTTCCAAGGTCCTGCAGAAACCTCTTTTCAAGGAATGCAAATGGTTTTATATTTTTAAGATTATTTGGAAATATCACTGGGACTAGGGGATACAGGCAATCATCTTACAAAGTGTGTGGGGTGGTCATCTACAATTTTCCAGGCTTCTGTAAGCAGTCTGAAAATTCCTTCAGTAATTTTCCAGAGGCTGCTACTTAAGAGACCTTTACCAGAAACAAGGACAACTCCAGAAACACATAAGTTTGTGATAAAAAACTCAACCAAACAAAAATCACTGTGCCACTGCAGCCTTTAGCTCGAAGCAATCTAGCCAAAGTGAACAGACTAACACTCATGTTTATATGTGCACTTCTGTACGTCCAGCTCTTGAACCCAGACTGCCATAGAGCCTCTCAAGCCACAAATCTCAAAACAGGAGATTTATACATTAAAGTGACTGATTTAATTAACTGTCTTCTACCAGGTTATTTAGAATCTCTGTAACTCTGGAAAGGGGAATTTGTGTCTCCTTGTAGGTAGTGACAGAAGATCTGTATTTCCAAATAACAGAAACCAAGAAAACAAATAGGCCCAACTTGAGGACTACAGGCTAAAGAGAGCTTAACGTTACTCATTATTTTTTTTAAAAAAGATAATTCAGTCCATATCAACTATATATGCAAATAATTTAATAACCAGAAGAGTTCTAGAACTTCTGTATATATTTCAGACTATAGTCAAGGATCTGATGCAAGCAAGGCGCGCAGCTCCAGTGCACCCACTCTGCCACTGAAAACTGCTGCTCCACATCAAAAGAATCTCATTTTGGAAACTAACCAGGCCTACAGCTCCCCGCTCTTCACACAACCTTGCATTTTAGCATTACACAAAGCAGCTCACTATTGGGGTTTAATGAATTATTTAGAATTAACTATTTTTATTATTAGGAACCTAATAAGAGTTTTTTTTCCTACTGCTAAATTCTGTATGGTATGGCTTCACTTTACAAGCATTTTTAACAATACTAGATAAATATAATTTGCACTTAATTGATTTTTTCTTCATCTGTTAAACAGCCACAAAATATGGTGCCCTCACAAGCACCTTTTTGGTGAGAAGGGTAAACAAGCACTCTATTAAAGCATTATAAAAATTCAAGGTGATTTGATCACTTCCCTCTACTCTGTTTCAACACATTGCTGCAAATCTTCCATTTTCACAGCGTCTTAAAAAAAATCCCACAATCATCTACAAATTTAGGAATTTGTTAGTCGGCATACACAATCTGCCCACAACACATTTCAACACCCCAGTTATCTTTCCTAAAATCTCTGAAGTATTTTTGCTCTAAGCCTTTAAGTGTACTGATGTAGATTTTCCAGTTAGGAAAAAAAAAAAGGGAATAATTTTTTCCAATAAAGCTACGTATCTGTAGCAACTTGTACAGTAAAACACTTGATAGCACTAATTTAATAATCGCCTTGACAGAGCTAGGATGGCCTTGTCTTGACTCTGTCCTGCACAGCTGTGTATTTTTGGCCCATCTAGTTCATCAGAACATGAACAAGCCTCGTGTGTTACTTCTGAACTGCGCACGTACAGGAAAACAGACATTTATTCATATTTTCCACCAATCAAATGTAATGCATCTGTGAACAAGCAGGTTTATTGCAGGTAAATGCACTTTTACCTAAGATCATATGAAGATTCTAATCTCAAGCAAGACAAATCAATTTCACAAACTTAATTCACACAATGCAAATAAATGGTTCACATTATAGACATTTAGATTTTATTTAAACCTTTTTATTTAGAGATATTTTCTGGTAAGGAGATATACCATAGGAAAGCAATTTCACTGGCAGTGAGGTATGTATATACTCTACCAAAATACTCCTCTTGTTTTAACTGCTTTTAACTTTATTTACATATAAAGAAAATATCAATGCATATCCTTGGCTTAACTACAGTATCTGTTACCCTATACGAGTAAAATGAAATGTTACTTGCATACAAAATTGATTTGTAGAGGAATCCGATTTGATTTAAACAAAAATCATGTTCTGAAGACAGTTTAAATGAACAAACACAATTCATCATGACCAAGACACCTGCACCATATTTCCATCCTCACAGCACATTTATTTCAGTAATTCTGTAAGTAGGTCCTTAGCATGAGCATAGTGTTACAGTTTTCATACATATAATCACATCCAAAACAAGCTCTAAAATTTAAGTTGTAAACATTCTCTTCATATGTAGAAACATTTTTCAATCTGTGTTCAAATTTTCTAAAATGATCAATCTTTTAAACAGAATTATAAATGAAAAGTCTACTCTAACCGTGTAGTGAGCAATGCTTATTAGTACATTTCTACAGTGTTAAATAAAATTGTAGAGAGGCAAACTTCTGTAAGCAAGCCAGGCTTTAGGTAAATCATCATAAAGAAACAAACTTGTTAACAAAAAGATGCTTTGTAATAAAGAAAGTTGGATTGAATCTACTATGATACAAAAACATAAGGGTAAATACCATCTTTGTTGACAAGTAGGAGGTAGCATGGATGCACCACTTTATTGTCAGTGAGAAATGCAACTGAAGTAAAGAATATTTCCTTACCACAAATTTCCAGTATTATGTACATATTTCTCTTAGAAATTTGTTTAAACAAGTTTCCCTCCACTTTTTAGTACAAAAAGCCTCATGTGATTTAAAAAAAAACACTTACACACCTAGATAGAATAGTACTAATTGCCCTATTTGAATGAAACAGTCTCTTGAACTATGACGTACATGGTATTTAATGCCCTAAGTTGAGTAAATTGTATTAGCAGTTCTTGGTATTATACAAAACACTACATACATACAAACAAAATATAATAATATCTTATTTTACTATGTAATTCTTTTTGGAATAAACAGAGCCTTGGATTTGGGTAACACTGAAGAGAATATGGTTTCTTTGTTTTATTAAAATGTGTCTTTTAAGTACCCATGTGCAACAATTTAAAAATGGCTGCCATACATGTAATGGTCTTGTATTGATAGTGAACACAGTAACTGACAAAAACATAATAAACCTTAAAAACACATCTTCCACCCTATATAAAATATAAAGACTACTTACTGTAATTGTTAAGTATTCAATTTATTTTGATGTTACTGTAATCCACTTCCTCTATTTTTCTGTTTTTAGCATTTATAAACATAATTTAGTGTAGCAATTTATTTTAAAAAATGACAAAGTATTTCAAATTTACATCCAATTAAAATTTAAAATGTTTCCTTGTTCTATGATGCGGCTTCTGCCATCAGTAAAGAAAATGAAGTTTCAGTAATTGAAGCAGGCTTTTTAAGTAGTGATGTGACTTCAACCATACCAGCTCCAGTCCGTGGAAGATTTGCGTTGACAATGTGTCGCTGCAAGTGCTTTATCCAGTCTTCTTGAACAGACAAAGGTCCTCGAAAGACCAGACCACAAAACCTATGCAAATATTAAAGTTATTCCATCAAGATACAGCTAGCTGTACTGAAAAATCATTAAATAAAGACATTAGGTGGAAAGTCTTAATTTTTTTGAAGTTTGTTTCTACATATTTTAGCTGAAAACCTTAGTAACTGAGTTAATAATTAATTGAGTAAGCACAAAACAACTGCAGTTTACACAACTTACACTCTACATTTTTAACACTAGCAATAACAATCTGCTGTTCTTACATAAGGTTTCTTTTGAAGGACAGAATATTACTCAGACATGATCAATAAGATTTTAGCTAGCAAAACAGTTAGCAACCTGAGTTATCTTCAAGTCTTCTTATTCAAAGTAATTAAAACAGGCAACTGGTTTCCCCCCTTATTATTCAATTTAACCACAAACATATTTACAGAATACAATCTTAAATCTTCTCATGACTAAAATTAGCAAGCTCTTAAGAATGTGTTCTTTCAATTAAAACAACCCTGTGTACCTGCATCTGAGTATGTAAACTTCATCAGCACTATGAGGTAATGGCAGCATTTTTTTCTTGCTTCCAGATCTTGACCTCGACTTCTTTTGCTTACAGTCTAAAGCTAAGAAGAGAGAAATTTCCATATGTGAAAGTGATACTTCAATGAATGTCAACCAGAGATATTTAGTAAGCATCTCCTATAGCAGTAGTGAAAAGACATCTACCTCCTTGTTATTCTACGTTTAATTATAATGTAAATCCAAAATAATTAGTGTGCTCTAAGAAGTTTATTGGCTAAACAGATGAAGCTACTTTTTTAGTTTAGCATAGTGCTTGCTCTTTAAAAGACTAGATAATTGACATTCATCATTAAACTGTTGGTTTAGTATCAGCAAGTACCTACTAACATTGCAGAATTATACAGAAGCAAAGCACCATGGGAAATTCCCTTTCATGCATAAAATGCTGTAAAAATCTTGGAACTTGTTTTATAGCTCAAGTACCATCATAAGACCACTCATGTTCAACCAAGTTACAACTCCACAAAGCTGTAGCTCTCAGCTAATACAATCAAGAATTTCTACTTTGAATAAAACACCTGTTATTTGTTTTCAACATAAAGCAGAAGTTTGTTCTTTTATTCTAAGAATTTCAAATGAGGCTTCCCCCCTCACTCCTGTCTGAATTCTAATGCATCTTACAATAACTATGTATTAATCCTTGGCAGGGGGAGCTGGTATTAGGACAATCAACAGGGGTGGCAAGGCCACTTTTAAAATTCAGCCTAAGCATTTGAAACTATGTATGAAAATAATGTGTGTGAACAGGAAAGGCATAGCAAATGGGTTCAGTCAGCGCTGAGGTCTGTGACTCCCGTAGATGTAATAGGAATCTGTAACAAAACTTAGAGATTCTAAGCAGCAGGCAAAGTTGAGGGATGAGGGGATTAAACTGAGTTAATATTGTTGTGATGAAAACATCTGATAAAGCTCAAGAAAAAAGAAGTAGTTTGGGACTGCTTGAGCTGAGAAGTATATCTAGCTATGCTCTATTCCGAAACACAAGACACCAACACTAAAACTCCAGAGACACATGAAAGACAGTAACAAGTGGTATTCTTGTTACCAAAAAGGCATAATGCTATGCTACTGAAGCATCTTAAAAGTAAAACTAAAAAAAAAATAAAATGTTACACTCGTCTTAAGTTTTGACTCCTGTAATAGAAAACAGAAGAATACACCTCTTAGTATTCTGAAGCATCTGGTGAGGCAAAACACGCTGTTTTAAAAAAACACAGTCTTGACTGCATCCTTCGTTTTTCTTCTGTCCTCCAAATAAGCACCTCTCAAGCTTTTACCCTGTAGCCAAACTTTTAACTTGTAGATACACCAGACACTTCCCAGTTCCATCCCATATTAAAAGATTCATAAAGTATCTAGAAAAATTATAATGAATTTTTGAGGTTTGAAGGCACCAGAGAACTGATCAAACAAGCAGAAAGCAGATACCAACCTAAGATGACTTCCTTCAGACCCTGGGTCAAGCCATCATTAGGAAGATGAGGCTCAACAGCACTTGTTCTGATAGTAATAATTAAAGCAGTCTGGATATAAAGGCTGTAACCCAAGGGGAGTGAGGACAGATAGACAGAAATGGCCAAGATAACTTCTGGAAAAGTGAATAGAGTTAAGGGGTTATTAATGCTTTATGCTCTCATCAAAAGTATATTCTTCACATAATTAGGAAGGAAAAAAGCTAACTATTTTTCAGGCTGTAGGAACTACCAAGTAATATCAATATTTTACATACCACAACATCAGTTACAACATCACCAGAAGTGTAAGCTGATAAAATACTGCAACCCAGACACCCATTCTCTGAAGAGAACTATTTGCATAAGGGTTGAATTATCTGAAGCAGTTATTATAGCAAAAGCTTTGCTATTGCTGATTTTGCAGATCATCATGGGAAGGAGAGAAACAGAAGTCAGTATTATCCGAATGCCAATACATCCACAAGTTGCATCTGATGTCAGTTAGTTGATGTCAGTTTTTGTGTTAAAAAAAAAAAAAAAGCAGTAAACAGCAGGCTCCTTCTAGAGAAGCCTACATGCAATTGAAACAAGAACTAGCTTATTCCCTTCATGTTGGCAAACTTAGGACATTCATTCCCATCAAGAAATTTGATTCTACTCACATACATCCCAAGCATTGCAGAGCTTTCACTTTCTTACTAGACCTGAATTGATCTCCCGCAGCAGAGTTGCTGAAATCTAACCGTTTTGTGTGTGTGTAATCTTCTAAGAAAAAACCCCTCTGAACTACTGTGCAATCAAATAGACAGCAACACAGACAAACAGACACCACCATAATCTACCAGCAGAGGTAGTTTCTACTTCCCTGAAAGATACCTTTTTCCAAAAAACAATGAGAAAATACGGAAAACAAAATAATGGTCATTTTATCCGAGTCATTTACAACAGAGGTTCCAGACAGAGAAATTGCAAAACAAAGAACAGAAAATATATTAAAAGACATCAAGAAAAAAAAAATAAATCAGATCACTCAATGCATTCTCAGAGTAACTTAGCCAGGACTGGAAGTACATTTGCCCAAGCAAGAAGCTGTTACAAAAGAAAATATGAATAATACTAAACCTGTGTTCTGCAAGAGGTACTTTTTGTTCCCCTTGTCTTGACATAGTTAACGTATTCCTTTACATTTTAGGGGGCACAGAGCAGCAGAAGTACTTTTTACTCTAATGAAGCAGGAAAGTAGGTGGAGAAAGAGCAAAATCTGAGTAAGGCTGACTGAAAACCATACTTCCAACACCAGTTATCACAGACATGTACCAGTAACTGCCACATTAATTTCATTTTTGTCTATCCAGAAAGTAACAAGTTTAAATGAAGTCACATGCACACATTTAAGTACTCTGTTGATATGATGCCTAACAGTGCTTGCAAGCATCAAGTCACACCACTGTCTCACCCAAAAGAGAACATAGCAACGTTTTGAACAAAATTCAGTTACTGTTCTTCCAACGCCTTTACCATAACAAAGTATGACCTCCTCAGAAAGCATGTTTTTAGAACTTTTGGGAAGAGACTAAGGATAATTTAGCTCTAGCAAGCTGCATGGAAATTGCAGCAAATTGCCAGAGACAGGCAGGAACTACCTACCATTAACGCCTATTTTGTGGCTATCACAGCTCCCAAACAATCATCCTTCATTCTCCATAAAGGCCCAATTATTTTTGGAAGCAGCACCTGGTGCTTCCTAGTCGCTATTCCAAAAACTTTTAGTAAACAACGAGTTAAACCACTTCATCAAACCTCTGATACAGCATGACAGAGAAACAACCCTTTTAAAACAAAAGACAATCAAACTTTGGAGGAATCTCCCTGAGGCACTCAAGTTCAATTTCAGAGCACGCTATTTAGAAAAATATACGCTAGGTAAAAAGGCTGCACATAAAAACCTTCTTTACCTCAGTGACTGCTCATCAAGAAAGACTGCAAGCAGATGGAGATAGGAGGCTAAAATGAGCATGCCTAAGACAGCATGAATTAGAAAAGTCACAATTAGAGGTCCTTCATGTCATCACACTCGGTCTGAAGTTCAAAATTAAAGTGCATCTATGCCAATCTGCACGCTCTGCTTCTTGATGTCCCCCAATATGGAAGACTTAATTTCAGGAAGACTGAAGCTGTGTCTTTATTCAGACCTCATTACTTTTGTCATAGCATATGTAAGCTAACCCAAGTTGAATAACTGCATACATAAATGGACCTAATTAACCATTTAAAACCATTGTCAATTAAAAGTAAAAAAAAAGAATTATTTTTCTTGTCTATTTATTCACTAATTTTTCAAATTCAATCAGTTGCTATCTATCCTCACCATTACTGCACCCTAAAATGCATTTAAAAAACCCCCTCCAGTAATTTGCTCCCTGAAAGATTTTACAGGATACTAAAAATTAGCTCATCATGACAGTTCACCAGTTGTGACTGTAACAGCACAGAATAAAGACATGCAAAGCCAGTGGATCTCAGATTTCTGCTGTAGCTGCCTATACTTCCACAGTAAATTTCCTGAAGCTACAATTTTGTCAAAGTAGAATTATAAATTATTTGGAAGCATAGTGGCCGCATGAACTGCCATACTCAGTCATACTGTTGTCTCAGAGGGCAGACTCCTTGCTCTGTATTTTATTGTTCTCTCAAATTTCTGAAAAAGCAGTCTCCACCTACAGAAGCAAAGATAAGAGCAAAGAAGAGAGTGGTGATTCCCAGAAGATGACAGCTACTAAGAAGAGACTGAGTCTGTGAAAAAATCAACAAAGGCAGCATGTAAAAAGCCAGGGTGCAAGAGGGTATCAAGAGACTTTGGGGGAAAGAGAGGCCTAGAAAGAAGAAAAGGAAGGAAGTTGATGTACCACTACACCAAGAAGAGCGAGATGCATTTTGAAGACTTTGTGTAGGTCTGTCCAATGCTCTAAAGGCAACCAGACGAAAGAAGCAAGCTTGCCACATGCTCTGAGAAACACTAGTGTGTTGCTATCCATCAAAAGAGGTCTAGAAGGAAAACAGCATCTACTCAAGTGATTAAATCATTACATTATTCAAAATTGGACTGCATAACAAAAAAAAAAAAAAAAACAAAAAAACAAAAAACCCCAAAACCAAAAAACCCAAAAACCCAAACCAAAAGCAAAAAAACCCCACCAGTGTTCCAGTCAGACATCTGATGATCATCATGCAAGCACTAATAAAAAGGCAAGTAACTATCCAAATGAACCTAGACAGGCATTTGCTATACAGTGGATCCATCCTGCATAACTATAGGCACAAATTTAATTTAATAAACACTAACCTTGAACAGCCAACAGTCTAGAAAGTTTAATTTCTAGGATGTTTTTGTTGAGTCCATCTCAAAATTTATTATACTTAACTATGTCTATTTTACTGCTAAAACTGTCAAGTTGCATTTGAAAAATAAATAGGCTAAGATTTAACTAAATGTTATCAAATTACAGACTCTGAAGAAGCAGGGCATCTGCTAGAAAAGCAGTATAATAATAGTATCAAAAACATAAGCAGACAAACAGAAAAACCTGAGCAGAAGACTAGTACGTAAACTAACATAGTGCTAGGAAAGGTCTCACTTTGGTGACACGCAGAGATTACTATATTTCTTACTAAACAGTGACGCCTGGGTAGCTCCCATAGCAACGGCCAAATAAAAGAATTACAGCATTAATGTTTACACACCATTATTTCATTACAGCAAGAAACTGAGACAAATATTCAACCAACATGATTTCTTTTCAGTAGCAATGTTTATTTTGGAAGATATAAGAAAGGCTTCATGAAAACAGAAGAAGGAACCAGTATAAACGTATCCTCATTGTCTCCATACAGGTTCCAGGCTGAAGCCAAACTGAAAACATCTCAGAATTGCTCTCAACTGCAACCATTTTTTAATAAGAAAAACTGAGATCTCCCCAAGAGCAACATTCACAGCAAAGTTTAAAACTAGCATGTCCTAGCGAAATTTTGCATTGAAATGATTCCCTTCACAAAACTTACAATACAAAGTGGAATAACAAATAAAACCACTGTTTAAAAGCATGTTTTATGGTCTACAAGCCTTGCAAGTCAATGAGCAAAGTTTACAAACTTTGCAGAGTTACAACAGCTTTAATGGTAATGAATAAGTTAACACAAATATACATTGGTTGTGTCATGTTATAGCTAGAACTTAGGCCTCACTAAGTCACTGGTTTCAGTGAAAGGCCTTTATCCACATGGTACAAGCAATTTATCTGTCTCAGCTCCACTTCTGAAATAAAAAGATTTTGTTTCTAACCTTTTGGTTTTTTTTAAGTTTTGTTTCTAACCTCACTGTGTTTCTAACTTAATTTTAAACAAACTTCTAAGTCCAATGATACAAGACTCGGGTGTTTTCTTTCAGTTATTTTCAAGAAAGTGGCACCTGTTCTGATCAACATGCTACTACTTCACTAGCAAAATACATTTCTTAAAGAAAACAAGCAAAAATCCCTGAAAACACCTTAACAAGCTACATTTGCTTTTCCCATTTAGCAAAAGGGAAGCTGAGGTACAAGAAGCTTGTCCAGGATCCAGTCTCCATGTACTACCCTGTCTGCCACTGTGTCTCCTCCAATAAATTACTGTTAAGATTTCAACATGCAATTTAAATATATAGCTGCTGAAAAATATTTCACCAATAGGTATATAAGCAAAATAACTTACCACAGGGCTAATATCAAACCACAGCAGTGGTAAATGAAGTCCACTATCATCATCATCTTTCTACTGAGTAAATATGAAAACTTTCAGAATCACTAAAAGCATACACTCCTACACATTGGATACTACACTGGAAGTCAGCAGACACACTGCATCTGCTGACTTCCTTCTAAATCTGCTTTGTTAGAGCATTAACTCAGCATAACATAAGACCTGGCAGCCACAGGCCCAGTCTGTAAAAATATTTCTTTTAGCCTTCTGCAGAGAAAGCCTGAAACCACTTTATCATTCTTAGCATAATGAATTACATCTGCAGATTAAAAAAAAGGAGTATGCATTTTTCCAAAGCATTACGTAAAAGTCTGTGCTTGTTGACACAGAAAACTGATGGTCACCCTTCTCAATCACTGAATATTCCAGACTTCGTATCTCCAAATTTTCCTCACTATATTCCATCCCTGCTACCCAATTTGTTGTTGATCATACAAAGTCCCACTAATCTTAGCAATAATCCAAGTAAACTCAAAAACTGCCTACAGCCAAGCAAACTGCAAGTCTGTGGAAATGAGTCAAAATACGAATTATTAGAGGAAGTTCAAAATGAAGTGTGTTTTAATGAAAAACATTAACAGCCGTGCCAAATGCTGTACTGCACTCACTCCATCTCAGAACAGATAGTTTTTGGGTTGTGAACCAAACAAGAAATTAAACCAACTACATGTAATATGTTGGAAATACACAAACTGTAAAATTACTCACTTTGCCTATCTTAACTACGGTATTCTTAGTCATTACATGTACTAGATTGTAAAAATTACTTGCTGGTTTGTTGCGGGGTTTTTGTTTTCTTTTTCCTCTCTCATTCTTGAGGTACTTTTAAACACTTCATTAGAAGGTCAACTAGCTGGTTTGAAAGTTGTGATATTGTAGGAGAACTAATTTAAGCAACCATCTCTTAGTTTTGCTTACATACCTTAAGTGTTGGATCCAAAATAAATGAGTAAGAATGAAAATCAGACATGAGAGTGGACAACAGCAACATTCCTTTTCTTACAAGTTGCTGAAGTTTTATGGCAAATAAATTGTTTACCAGCAGAAGCTTCAAAATTATTTTGAATTAGCATATGCTTTTGTCCAGTCTGATGAGGAAAATGTATCATAGACAGACTTGCTTTTACATCTGTAACAAAACATACCTGTCCCAGTCAAAAGTCCAGCACTCTTCTTTCGTGCATAAGCGCGTAAGTGGTTGGACAGGCTAACAGCACTTGTAAACGTCGTATTGCAATGCACACACGTTCTAAGCTTCACAGGCATACCTATCATTCAAAAGAAAACTATAATCCAGTTCTCTCTTCAAAAAATGAAATTCTCAAAGCGTTGTAAAAAGTTTTCTGCAATAAAGATGGTTTAAAATATATTCACTGCATTGACGCAATTGTTTAGTATATTAGAAGGATCCAAGTTAACCGTTATTAGTTTTCCATGTAGTGCTTTAAGCCAAACCATGTTATTTGAAAAAGAACAGAAAGGAGGCAACTACAGCCCATTAGGCTACTCTGCATTTAATACCTACTGTCAAGTTCCTACAGATCTCCACATTATGAAGCTCTAATCCCAAAATAGAATCCTGCAATTTGAATAGCACAATTCTGTTGAGAAATTTCAGAGCTTGCAACATTTCCAATAAAGAGAATTTAAAAAGTCTAGTTGACAAACTGGTAATTAAAAGTGTTTTACCCATATGACTGAAGAGCTCAACACTAAATTAGGCTGCTGTTGAAGGCTCAGAGGAAAAGGTGGTAAAACACACCACTGAACAGCTGTTGGACAAAACATTTTGTTCAGTGCATTTCCTGTTCATTAGTTTAGATGCACAATCGATAATGGAAGTTAATGACTTGAAGTTTTTTGACAAAATCTTTGTGCTAAATAAATGATCAACAAAGCAACATGCTTTATCACAGAAAAACAGTGAAACAATACTGAACTCCTCACTTACCAAAGAAACCATTATAACTTATTCCCTGCTCAACTTCACCATAATGTGTCTCCCTTCATTTCATCAACAATATATTGCTTTCACCAACTAATATTTCAAGTTCTCTACTAACAAATTATTAGAAGAATACATAAAAAAAGCTAAAACTACTCAGCTGGAAAGCCTCTATTTGCAGGAAAGAAAGAATCCTATGCTCCAGCAGCCCACAGAAGACATGCTGTTTTTTCAGGCAAGTTACAGAAGAAGAACACCTGGTTGGTAAAAACCTCCTTAAAAACTAAAACCAGAATTAGAAATATTTGCCTTTTTTGGAAAACCAGAAGAATTTCAACTTGATGTTAAATATTTTCTTATTAACTCAACTGGCACAGTGCATTAGTTGTCAAGTTCTGTCACCTCAGCCACAGATAATTACGGGGCCCCATTTGTAACTGTTAGTACTATGCAAGCATGTATTTATTTTTACCTGGTTGCTCATCACAACCAAACAAATGCTACCTAGTATTCATCAGTAAATATTAAATAGAAAGCAATACAGGGTCAGGTTTGGCAAGCTATTTCTTCAGCATTGTTTTTCAAATCACTAAGCCTGCCAAAGATACACTTCCTTTATTAAGCTATCTCCTGTTTTAAAGGACAACCACAGACGTCCAGAAGACATTAAACGTAATTCTGTTCAACCTCTACTATGTTATTTTAGAAAGTCACCTTTGTTAAGAAATTGATTGCCACACTTTTTTAGTCCCCTAAAAGAACTTCTGAGCACACTAGACTGGTGTTGTTTTTATTTGTTTAAAGGAAGACAAGAATTATAGGTGAAAAAGTACTAGGCACTGCCAGTTTCACTAACCTTCACTGGGTAATAACAAGAAAACCAACAGAACCAAAAAAGTCAGGGGTATAAAAATAAGATCCTGCTCCTCTATCTGAAGAATTCTGCAGCGTTATAAGGTGGTGTCCAAACAAGAAACAGGTAAATGCAAGCTCTACGTACACATTAAAAAGGATGTTGTAAGAACTCCCCAAGACTAGAAGTAACTCTTATGTGACAAGTAGGTTAAAAACATCACTCTAAAAACCTGCTCTATTAGTATACAGAATATCTAGGAAGCTGATTATAGAATTGTTTCATTAGCACAATTCTCAGAGGGGCTATCTCTGTCCATCAGTCAGGGGCTGTGCACTAAGAAACCTGCTGGCTACAAGTGTATCCCAACAAAACTTGAAGCAGCACAGGTCTTCACTCAGGAGAGACAGGCCCTAAGCAAGCACCAGTTTCTCACAGTAGCAGCAATTTTGAAACAAACAAGAATTAATCTATGTTGTAAGAATATGATTGTCCAAACCCATCAAAATTAGCTGTCAGTGACTCACCAATTTGGAATATTATGCATTTATAATGGTATCAACAGTTCTGTTAGTTTGAGCAAATGCTGCTTTGCACAAACCTCAAAGATTTCAACGCAGCAGTTCCCAAAACAGCTGTTTTGATGCCCAGAAACAGGGTTACAAGCCCAAACATTTCAGAACTGTTAGTCTACCAAACACGTATGGACACTTCAACTTGTTATTGCAGAATGTTTTCTTCCCTACGGAGGCTCATTTTGTGTCTGCTTTGAATGTGTATGCCCAGCCACATGCAGAACAGGAACTATGTTCCATGCAAGCACTTTTTTTCACTTCAGGAAAAACAAGTCAGAAAAATTTGCTGTGCTACCTCTCGCAGTCAGTGTCCTCTGGAAATGAAACAAGAATTAAATGAACAGAATCCCAAATAAAATACTCTGCACTTGTACATTTTCTATGAATTAAAGGATTCTTTGGAAATGCTGTCAAGACAGCTAGAAACATCTTCTTACCTGACTGCATAGTCAAGTCCATTTTTTGTGGCTGATACATCAATGGACTGTCTTCATTTAATGGAAGAACACATTTCTGAACAAACCTCTTCCTTGCAGTTTGATTATGAATCTTTTGAGGAGAAATATCAGGATTCCTTTCATGTCCTAACCTCTTATTTTTCAGGAGTTCTATCAGTGTAAGTGACTGATTTTTTCTTCCGTCATGTAGCACTGCTTTTGTTTCATCACATTCATTTAGGAAACTCAGCCCTTCTTCCTCTGATGCAGACACAGATATATCTTCAGTCTTTAGGCCATTATGGTATGCTTCAAGAGGTATAACATTCTGAGATAAAAAGTCATCATTTGATGCAAATTTCTGAGCAACAAACGGTCTGGGAATAATGCGGCGACTGTTCAAAGCCTTTAGGATTTTTTCATACTTCTCTTCATTTTGCATCATCTCATTCAGAACACAGATCGGAGATTTGTGTGCATCCCACTTGGTTTTGCCAAGCCTCTTCAGGTGTCCTCGCACATGATTGGACAATCCAATTTTAGTATCGAACCAGCCTCCACAGAGCTGACACGTATGCTCAGAGGAAGTTTCAGATTTCTCAATTGCTACAAAGACAACAATTTTCATGGTTTTTGACAATTATACACAGTTAAACATTACAATAGCAAATCACAAGGACAAGAAGAGAGGCTTTACAACCAGATAAAGCAAGACTTGCATAGTGCTCAGTAAATCCCTGGCCCCTTTACTTTATACCCAAATTTAAAAAACAAACAAACAAACAAAACCCAACTTACCTTTTCTAACACGTTTAACAGGAGTTCCTGTTCCAGTTCTTTTAAAATGTTGCATTTTATCACTTGTTGCTATCTGTTCTGGTGAAACAACATGACGGGCTTCATAGCTTAGTCCAGCTCTGTGAAGATGTCCTCTGACATGATTGGACAAACCAACACCTGTTTCAAAGGTTGCTGGACAGTATGGGCAGGACTTCTTTTCAAGCGACAAATCAGTCCAATGGAAAACTGAATTATGCTTTGGCAATGCCGATCCTACATTTTCCAAATTCTGAGGATCATGCAAATCATGCAGGAAGTTACCACCCTCAGCATCTTCATAATATTCAAAATAAAAGCCATCATTCTGCTCATAACTAAGTGAAGATTTATCACCAGCTTCGTGATCTTCCATTTTACCTTTGAATATGGGGAATAGGTTTACATGCTCCTGATTAATATCACTGTAAGATTCATCCTCCACAGACTGTGTAGTGTAATCACATAGTTCAACATTATCCCATGAACTTTCATCCTCCGTTTCATAGCTGTCTTTTTTTTCAGCAGAGTTAAGTTTCTGTAAAACAACAACAGTCATTTTATGCAGAAAATCTGGATAGCAATCCAAATCATTTCCTGTAACAGAGCCTTCCCTCTTGGATTCTTTAACGACTCTTTTTACAGCTACATGCCTATGATCTTTATAGCCTTCTGCCCTTTTGCAATCAAGATTATTTGAATCCATGACAAAACAATTACGGGGATTACTTGATGAAGAAAATAAATGTAAAGAACTGACAGAGCTGGACTCTTCCTTTTTTAAATGTAAAGGATAAGAGTCACTATATTTTTTAATCATCCTGTAGTTTTCATATTTGTGTCTATATAAATAATTACCTCTTGTTTTGACACTAGCTTTCTGTTTTGCTGCTTGATGAAAACACTTAGGTTTCTGTTCAAAGCTATCTCTAATCAAAAAGGTCTTGTTTGTAGAATTTAGATTGCACACACTTACAGATGACTGTGAAACAAAAAAAACCTGTAGGGTCTCTTGTGGAGTTTTGTGAAGTTACTGGACTGTGAAGTAGAGCCAAATGATCTTTTTACATCCTGTTTTAAAACAGAGTTCTTTGGAAAAGTCGAAGATTGTTTGATCAACTGCTTTGTCCTGCTACCAAAATCTAAAGATTCTTCTATTATGCTGCCTTTTCTTTTTTCTAGTCTAAGATGGCTACCAAAGGGATCAATGCAGGACGCTGGATGCAAATACTCCATGTGCTTTTTTAAAATGCTTCTAGCTGAAGTAGTAAATGGACACATCTTACACATATACGTCGATGACTTTTTTGAGGAACCTAAATAAGGATCTTTCAAGGATGCCTTTTTCTGTGTTTTCCTCTGCGACATGTCGCTACCGATAACTGAACATTTGACTACTGCTCCATGAGCAATCCCTCGATGGCATTCCAGTTCATTTTCTGTCACTGCCATGAAATTGCATTCCTCACAGCAGTAATATCTTTTATCTTTTTCATGGGTCTTTGCATGCTGCACAAACGTTTTAGGACAATTGGTACCAAATACACACTGTGGGCACTGTAACCGTGCACTCCTACCCTCATCCTGAAGTTCTTTCAGCTCACGGATTTCTTCCATCAGTTTCTGCCTTCTTTCCTGGTGAATTATCATATGTTTAAGAAGTGAATTACGATCTCGAAATGTCCTTCCACATTCCCTACATGCATAGGGCCTGGGGACATTGAGATGTCGGAAATGACTGTTCCCATCTAAATGGTACATCATATGCCTATGCAGATGTTTCTTCTCCCTAAAATTCACATTGCACTTTGTACAGGGATAAAATGAGGGTTCATCAGTACTGAAAGTAGATGGTGATTCGGAATCATTCTGTTCACACTTATTTTTTAAAGTATTGGAAAAAAAAGTGCTGGTGTGAACAGGAGAAGTATCTTCTGCACAGTTACTAGTAGGACTATAAACGAGCTGGTGAATAGCATCAACAGCTTCCAGCTCTTCATCTGTGGATTCAGGCTTTACTTTACTCAATGAATATTTTTGTGGTTCTACTATTTGTAGCTCCTCATTCTGCTCTAAAAAGTCAACACTTAATAGTTTTGATTTACTAGGAATACAACTGGTATCACCAAAACAGTCTTCAGTATAGCGCGTTATTTTACTAACATCCATTTTCCTTTTTCGCTTTTTTTCTAAGCTTACTTTACAGTGAATGGGAGACTTCTCTATTGTTTCTTCATTTGTCATAAGAAACTGTATAAACTCTTTTTGTGGATCCCAACTGGGATCACATCCCGATCTGAAACCACCTGTACCTGAGGAAACGCCTGTTAATGTATCGACACAATCATCTTTCACTAGTAAATTTTTATCATCCTCACAAACTTCTACTTGGCCTACTAAAGTGCTGTCTACACTATTTCCTACTGATTTCTGTGAATCACAACCAATTGAAGCAGAGGTAGGTAGATTTTTAATGGAATGAGACAGGTTTTTAGCATGTGCTACATCAGGTAACAAAAATAAAACTTGGTGCTGATTTGATTTTTGTGTTGTACTCTTCGCAGGCAGCTGAAGATCATGAACCACTGTCAAAGTTGAGCAGGAATCTGTGTGATGACCTACAGGCTGTCCAGTGGTTAATGAAACACTGCCTTTATTCATAATGGAAGTCTTGGTTGAGGTGGAGTGTGAAACTGGTCCATTAACAGCAGTTCCTCTAGACAAGATAAAGTTTTCGCTAGAAACAGTAGGAGCACCAGTGTGTATAAATAGAGAAGCCTGGCCTCCACTTAAGGCTTTTTCAGATCTGTCCCTTGATAGCTCCTCAGGCAGAGTCAATGCATTGTTCTTCTGAAACGACGTGTCACTCTCTTGTGGTTTAGGAATGCTACCTTCTTCCTCAGATATGAAATTATCATCACATAGGATTTCTTCTTCTTTAGCACCAGTGACTTCAGTATTTATCTCTAAATCATCCATATTGCTGGTCTGTCCATTCAGTACATTTATACTAAAAAAAACCCAAACAAACAAGAAAAGGATCAGGCAATCACAGAAATAAATAATGGCGATTTTAATTTACAGTTTTCTTCAGGATCACCCTTCCTCACACTGTAATCTAAAAGTAAGTTTTGAACTTGTTAAAAATGTACTTTTTTTATTTAGGATACTCAAGACATGTTTTAAATTAATCAATGAAGCAATAAGAAAATTACATTTTTTGCTATGCTGTATTAATAACCGTAAAGCAAACTAATCACTGCCCAGTATCCCAGTTCAAAAAAGCCTGAACATCTACATATAAGCAAGATGGGGAAAACGAGACTGTCAAACTGTGCAAATACATTCTAAATGTATATTAACATAAACACAGAGTTTATCTGTAGTTGTTTGCTAGAAGGAAACCAAGTTAGGAGTAAAGGCTACCCAGACAGCTGCTATTCATTTCAGTAATTTTTTTTAAAAATGTAATTCCCTTTAGCACCTAGGAAAACAAAATAAATTAAAACAATCTTTATGTTAATTTCAAGGTATCACTTTTTTCAAAGTGCTTCTATAAAACTGACAACACAACTAAGCTGATTTTGAACATCTGATTACAGGGACATAGCAAAAGATCAAACTCACTGAAGAAATTAAATGTCTTCCCATTCCCTTCTTACAAAAGGACATTACTTGCTTTAAAATAAATAAATCAGATCCTGCTTATGGTATCAAGGCCACTGTAAATGAAAATCAAATAAAATAGCATCTTCTCAAGGTGGAAAAAACCCTCACAATTAGAAAAAAACATTTACCTAGGATTTACCTACCAGAAGAAATCAGCATGTTGAATCCAGAGCACAACAATAATAGTATCTGCTAGTACAGAGAACTACTACAAATTAATTCCCTCTGCGTGGCCTTGTGTACATAAATATGGCTTTCTACAAGTGACTTTCATTCATACACAAAAAAACACCTACCCAATGCTTAGTGAGCACAAAGGAGTTGCCTACACATGAAAATCAGTATGTAATAAACAGGAGTGTGAATTTAAGTCTACCCTGGCATTTACCTCTTTCATGGGTCTTCTAAACACAGTAAGCATAGGGCATTAAAACACCCATCTAGGTGTTTTTTAAAGAGTACTATTTGCTTTGATCTTTTGGGGGATTTGATCCGTGAAACATACTTAGTTTCAGTTACTAATTAATATTTTGAGTAAAGCTCAGTTAAAAGCGGTCATTACCTAGACTCTTTGAATTAAGATGTTATAACTCACACCTAATATCCATGGCTCCCTGCTATGGTCCTTCATCAAAATCAAGGAAGACCATGCTCGACATCCTTTTTTCCTAAGGAGAGAAAACAACCTGGTTAAATGACACCATTTTCATCTTTACATGCCACATTCTAAAATGAGTCCAGCATGTCTATTAGTTTTTCAGCTTAACCCTACCCACACAATTCAAAGCTAGCTATAGCCTCATGGAAATTCTGTTTTTGTGCTTGTTTTGTTTCAAATCCGCAAAAGGGCAAAAAATATACTCTAACCTCCTTTAAGTTTGTAAAAAACAAACCTTAATGTAATACAACTTATTTACTATTTTGAAGATGCAAGTAACTATATTTGCAGTAGGAATGAAAAATTGGTATGAAATACTTATTGTATTATTTATCTATATTATCTAGAATATACCTTTATGTAAATATTTTTACTAGACACCCCAGTTTCTCATCTTCTAATTTCTTAGATTTTTGCATTTCTTTTTTGTTTTGAGATGGGTCATTTTCCACCATAATAAAGACTTTCAATAAGATCACATTCAAAGCTATCACCCTAAAATGGTGATAATGTAGCACCCAGCAGGAGTCTTTACATCATATACACAAGCTAGAAACAGGCACCAAGAATCAGTAATGCAAGTCAATGAAAAGAAGTTAAACCTCCAAGGATGCACAACAGATCCAGCAACTCTACAACTGAATAGCGTAAGCTTCATACCATATCAGGCTGCAGAGTATAAACATGCCCACAAAAAGTTCAGAAGAAATTTAGTAAGCCAATTTTGTCTGAAAGATGTGTGTTTTCCTCGTTTTATTACTGCAGAGGTAGACAAATGTATGCTCAGTCAATTTGAGAGTCTATATTAGCTTTTCTCAACAGGAAGCAACGTTGCTAACGAAGTGGTAAATTCAGTGTTAATGAGTGGCTTCACTGTTACCACCTCTGAGGTAAAACCTTGGATGTTCCAAGTTCCACCCATCTGTTCTGGTGTGAGGGGTTCAGAGGAAGAACAGACGCTTCCCATTTGAAGCAACTTCATTGGTACCCCCTGAACAGCAGGGAGGCAAACTGAGAATATTGTGCCTGCTTAGGGATTGCAACGCTCATTATCAGAGTGGCTCCTGAAGACTTTTCACAGGTTTACATGAAGACAACAAAATCATGTTTCTTTACATACAAAACCATACTGACACTAAATATTAGTGTTAAAGCTTAAGATTAAAAAACGGCTAGGACACCATATGGTCACCTTAAAACTGAGACTCTTCTCAGAGTTATCATGAGCACTATCTAAAACGTTACTTTGTGCAGTCTTGTAAGAGACTGTGGAGATTGTGAACTACTCCATATGGATCTGATCAGAAGTCTTCCACGGTAATACAGCTGTCCCTACAGAATGCAGTCTTTGAATCAAGCCCGAAATGCTTACTGTAGCAACAATATTGCTGTTACATTTTAATAATTTTCTTTTAATTATCACATTTTTTCCAGCTATCAGGGTGGCACAATTCACTATTTTATGTGCAGGACAACAAGAGGAAAGTTAGCTGTTTTTACAGCATGGTATTAAAGAAAACAGATAAAATATCTTTTTAAATTACAGTAATTTAGTCTTGTGATGACACTGAGCCAAGATGCAATACTTCATTTATATTACCTACTCCATGTGTAGAAATTTATGCAGCAACAATGACAGGTGTAACTAGACACAGGCAAGAAAACATTCCACCTAATGCCATCATTTTTGAGGAAACATTATCATCTAACTTGTACCATTCAGGAAGCACAATATCCAAACTGAAACACTACCTAATCTGAACACTCAGAGAAAAAAAAAAAAATGAACCATTGTAACAACTATGTAACTAAGGCTGTGCATAGTCTTTGTGTTTTTCCATCACAGTTTTAAAGTTATCTTCACTATATTACATCAGAAGTACACAAATTATTAATTCTGTCAAAATACATAGTAATTAATCCTTGGGTATTCGAAAAATTAAACATTTACATCAAACTTTAAATTTGCTGCAAATAGTGTTTGTTACATCCTCTACCAGGAGCAAGCTCAATATAGTTGAGGGAATTTTTATTTAAGCACATAGTGCTAAGCGTAAAAATGGCAATGCTCAAAAAGCCTTCACCAGTGTACACAATCCCAGGCTCGTACCTTTGAAACACACTTTATCTAAAAGACTAGGCCAAATTCAATTCAATTATATCAGTTAAATCCAGAATGACTGTAGCGTAGTTAACAGTGTTATTCCTCGTTTACACGGTATATTATTTATTATATAGGAATTATTTCATATTTGAAAGTGGAAAACAACCAAGCATTTGTTCAACTAAGCCACATTCCATCCCTATTTAGTAAGTACTTTTAAATTTACATATTTTAAAATATTGTTTTTCTTCATAAAATATCAGTTTTTAAAATTGTAATGAGTTCTGCAGATATGACTGCCTGTGGCCAGACAGTCTAAACTTTAAAAGTATAAGGTCAGATCTATCTTCAAGCTGACAGATCATCATTTAAATGCCTTAAGCTAATCTTATTGTCTCAAAAATTTTGAACATCAGTATTTCTGCAAACTATCAGCACTTGCTATAACACCCTTACCACACTACATCTTGAGGTTACTACAGAAGAAATTAGGTGATAATTGCATATTAACATAATTATTCAGTAATTCCTCTGAGTAAGCTTCCTAGGTCACTCAGTAATTCAGGTTAGATGCAACCTTCCTGTCATCAGATCTATGCTGTCCACTTTCTGTTCATTAATAACTCATTTTGACAGGAATGTACTTAATTCCATTGTTCTATGTACATTAATCTTATTTATTACCAGTAGGTTTACGACACTTCCAAGGTCTGATTTCATAATGACAACCTTCGCTATGTAAAAGGGTCACACACCAGATTAAGAGTATTGCCTTCACGCAATACTAGTTCATTAAAACTTACACTCCAGTGCTAAGTGTACTATGCTGTTGCCTACTAGAAGTTGTAGTTAAGAGACGTCAAGTGTTGCAAAACCCACTTTATTTTACAAGGATTTACAATAGATTTGAAAGCACACCAGAGATGAAAAATTAAGATGGTAGAATTTGGGTGAGAATTTTGGTCATGCTCTTCACAAAGAGCATGAAATACTGTTATGTGTTTTGATAGCAAGTTTCTCTTTAAGTTAATAAATATAAGCCAATGAGCTAAAAGCACAGAGCAGCTATTAAGTGTCAGAAAAACTTAGAAGCCATCTCCTAAATGGACTGAATTTACTCAGCCTAGTTAAAGTAACTGAAGATATAAAGTCTTTCAGCAGTGCGGTAATGAAGACAAAAATATACTTGTCCTGTCCTAATAACTGGGACACTCGGGGGATTATTCAAATATTCAAGAGACAGGAAAGGTGTTTCAGGTTTACACTGTTCCCATTTAGATTCTTCTTCAATACTTTGTTATGTAAATAGAGAAAACTAACAAAATCTATAATTTTAGCTACAAGCATTCCTGTGTTAAAGCTTTCTCAAATGGCAGATGATAGTAAAGATGATGGAGCTTAAGTACATCATGGCACAGGACTAAAGAGGCGTCTCCTATTTTGTTCTGTTACACAGTGTACTCCTTTAGCTTAATCACAGCAAATGTCAAGCATGGAGTTTCCATCAGAAGTGATATGTCTTAGAACCTTTGGAAAATGAAGGTTTGTACAGAGTAACAGTGGAACTAGTAGTGTATTAGCATAAACCAGCCATGTCTTGAGAGAAAAATAATCAGGTTATTTAGACGATAGCTGGGCAATATTTTTGCCTCTTCCATACAGAAATGCACACAGTTGACATCTCCCGAGTTTTGGGTGTTACCTAGCAATGAATCCCCATAGTCAATAAAATCATGATACTTTCATAATTAGAAAAATACCTACTACTAATTTTCTACTTTCTCTCTTCCTAAAAGCTACCCAGATCCACTCATCCTTCAGATGGAAACAAAACCACAAAGCGTGACAACCAGAGCATGAGTCAGTGACTCGCCCTGCCTTACCCCAGCTCCTGTCTTTATTTACAAATTAAGTTGTTCAAGATACATTCCCTTTGGCACAGCAGAGACACTGACTATGGACTGCCTTATTTTGCTTTGAAACTTACAAATTCACCTGAACATTTCTGAATGGGTTTTTTTAAAACAGATAGCTTGTAATATGCACAATGCCATACATACTGCCCTCCCACACCTACTTTACATACAAATACACAGTTATTAATATAACTACAGTCTGAGGAGCTCCACTAGTTATCTTCAATTCAAATCCATAGCTATTCACATGAGAACACAAACTTTGTAAAACTCTCATAGCTAATCAGACTCCCATATTAAAAAATATTTTTAAAGCAGCAAGCAAGTTGTATTAAGAAGTTGTATTATGCCTAAATAAAGAAATACAAAGTTATTTCCACCCACAGTATAAACTTTTGTTATAGTGTTGACTCACTGAGTTGTATCTCAGTGGGAAAAGCTGACCAAAGAGAAACTTTGAATTACAGAGGAGTCATCACACAAAAGCAGCCTGTCTTCTCAGTGAGAAGGAACATCAAACCCGGAGCACACTTTTTCAGAAAGTTTATTTACCTGAAACTTTGTTTCTAATCAAACAATTTCTTCAAAAGCTGTGTGTCAGGTAGTAAAGAAAGAAAAAGTTTCCTTAAAAGTGTCAACATTTCAGAAACTTGATTTCTAGTCTAAAATGTTTAAGAGTAATAGGTTAACATCTCACATGTGAACGGAAACAGTACACAACTGAAGAATGACCATCTTACAATTCAGAAGTCATAGAAGAGAACACCATGACTGCCACCGACCATTCTTTATCTTACCCCTGTAATATTGATTTGCTTGGGAAAATAAACCAGTTTGTCACAATGGCGTGCATCATGCTAAAATTCAATGTTGAAATCAATAAAATAAATGACAATACAACTTAAGTGTCACAAGAATCAGACTGTATGACTTTAAAAAAATACTCTTCTAGTTATAAGCGCTAATGCAGCTGTTTAAGATGGTTTCACT